TTTCAACCAAGGCTTCGGAAAAGATTTTTAATTGCTTCAAGGTTGAGGGTTCTATCGGCATTCACTCACTCTTCTGCTGTCGAGGCCATTTCTACTAAAGCATCTCCATTCAATTCTGAGCGGTTTGCTGCTACCATTCTTTTTAATTCATTATTATTATTTAGAGCATTTCTAATTATTTGTTTTCTTTCGTGCCCAGAAATACCCACCCCAGCGGTTTGATTTTCTGGTTCTTGATTAGGAAGTGGTAAATCTCCATTTTCCATTCTTCGATGATAACCGCAACGTCCATTAATTACGCTCACCTCATTTTTTTCATGGTAATTTAAGGTATCAGCATAGTTATTGTAGCAACCAGGCACCTTGCAGGCAACATTATCCCCTAAGGCATTTTTCATTCTTTCATATTGTTGTTTAGAGAAAAATTTAGGAAACAGGCAACGGTGTTGTGCTCCGGTTCCTTTTTCTATATATCTCATTCTCGCTGCTTGCTCTTCTCCTAAACCGTAGGCATTATAGGTCAATCTATTCCTTTCTGGATTTAGGGGAGAATATCATGGTCGCTCAATCCCTCGTGGCATTTCGGTTAAATTTTGGGAGGTCGGACTCAAACTAAACTCCCCTTGGTGATTGCTTATGTAATTTACAATAGTGTCAGTAATAGTTTCTAATCCCTCATTATTAATTGCTCCTCGGCCAACCGAATAACCGTCAGCAGGACAAATAAAAAGGTTGTTATTTAGGTCAGTGTGAAAATCAAAACCATCCCTAATATGTAAACAAATTCTTTCTACTCTTCTTAAATCAACCTTAATTTCACAAGTTCTTTCGATAAGTAAAGTTTTTACAGGAGTGGTTCCTATAATTTTGTAATCTTGCCTATAAGTTGTATTTTTCACATTAGTAATACTAACATAACCTCCCTTTATCAAAAATTTTTCTTCAAGGTCATGATGGTTTAAGACATTAGTATTAGTCTTAATTCCGACCTGACTAATCTCATTCTCATCCACTCTAATAACTTCTTCTAACTCAAAAAAATAAAGATAGTTCTCCCCTCCCCTAGTACAGTTTCGAGTAATGTTTTTAATTTTAAATTCAGGGAACTCCATTTTTTTATATGCTTATTTATTATTAAACTATACACTATTTTTTTAAAATTTTTGTCTGGTTTTGATTCATTAAAAAGTAGTATAAATCGTTTTTATAATTATTATAAGATCATAAATGCAAAAAATATTAATTATGAATACCTATCAAAAAGTTGAATTATTACCCTACGAAAAATACGAAAGAATTAAATTACCATACGAACTTAATGAGTTAGAATGAATAATTTCTTTCCAAACCATGCGTTATCACTATAACATTCTCCATAAAAATTATGAACTGAAACTATTAGAAACCCTTCGGGGAAGAAAAATCAAGGAAGAGTCTGAGATTGAAAAACAATTTCCCACTCTGATAAAGTTAATGGAAAACTTAGAGAAGTTGCCGGAGGAAATCAGAAAAAATGTTCGCTTCTTTGGTGGCGGACTAATTAACCATAATTTTTTCTTTATTCATCTTACCAAGTTCAAAGTTCAACCCCTAGACTACCAAGTTGAGAAAAGAATTAATGAAAGTCTGCTAGAACTTATTAAAACTAAATTTATTAAATTTGAAGGACTAAAAAGAGAAATGGTGAAAAGTGCCTTGCGAGTGCAAGGAAGTGGCTGAACCTGGTTAGTTTTGAATAAAAAAGGTGAATTAGAAATTATTAACACTGCGAACCAAGATGAACCGTGGAGTTTGAATTTACGACCGCTGATAGCGATTGATGTTTGAGAACACGCCTACATCTATGACTATGGTGCTAATCGCCAAGATTATGTTGAAAAGTTGATTGGTTACTTGTTAAACTGAGAATATATTAACCAACTATATCTAAATTATACTTCTGATTAAAAATTTTTTTTTTTCAATTAAATTCTAGGGAAAAGAGAGAAAAATTTTAAGGCTTTATTAGAGTTGGACTTCTCTTTTGTGGAAAATGTTCCCGACGACCAAAAAATTTAACACTAATAGTATTGACTGCAGAAGAGTGAGTGAATGCCGATAGAACCCTCAACCTTGAAGCAATTAAAAATCTTTTCCGAAGCCTTGGTTGAAA